GAATTTTTCGTTATATCAAGCAGGATTTCGAATTTGTTTCCACAGTTAAATGGACGAAGGCAAACGGTGACAAAACATAAAAGTGTCATCATCAGAAAAAGAGTGCCCCTTCATTCAGTGTTACTTTCTGTAGAATGACTATAAGATGCTGATCAATTATTTCCTGTTAATCATAATTCCCTGCGTCGTTGGCTTCTCCAAGAGAGTCCCTATAGGTGAGAAGATTTCTGTAACGATTCTAATGGAACGTCTCTTGGGACACGGATGCTTATTTTTCTTTTTCGTACTCAACCACCGTCTCCCACTTGCGTTCCACGAAATATTAATAGAACGCGAGATGTTCAGAGACACACGTGTCCACGGGTGTGATTCTTTCAGGAGGACTGTTCGACGACGACGATGGAATCCAACGCACCTTCGAAACCTCCATAAAGACAGTAAATAGAGACAGAAATAAGAATCCGGAATTCTCGAACGTGTATTTCGTTGCACAGTCCAACGAAGTGGGAACAGAGCCCCTCCAAGTGTCCGAAAAGGGTACAATCATATTTCTTAATTAACCCTTGCCTTCATATCAATCCTTACTTGTATCATAANGCCGCTAGCCACTGTGCAGTACTACTATGCACACACCACTGTGGTGTCGCCGGCCGTGGACCACTATTTCGCGTAAGACACCACTGTGGTGTCGCCGGCCGTTGACAGCTATTTCGCGCACGACACCACTGTGGTGTCGCCGGACGGCATAGTGTTAAGTAATAATTAAAGTGTTTTTTTTTTTAAATTTTGAAATTGATAGATCTCAAGTTTCGGCAAGCGCGCTCCACCGCTCGCCTCTCACCGCGACAATCGAGGCAGCCGCGTTTGACCTGACCTTTCCCGAGGTTACAAATAGTGCAAGGGGTTAATTGATAAAACGAGCTATTGCGAAATCGTTTCATTGCAGGACCTCCAAACGATCGACCTGGAACCGTATCAGTTCTCAGGGGTGAACTTCACAGGGGTACGTTTGATAGATCCTGAGAGTCCTTTGGTAAACAACACTGTGTGGGAGAACAAAAACGAATGGGGCTTGGACGACCCTAGCCAATTACGCGTAGAGCCTGCGCTCATGTACGACGCAGTGCAGCTCTTCGCGAGAGCATTCAAGCAGCTGAAAGACGCCATCAAAGGCGACGTGAAACAGCTACCGTGCAACGGTACCATGAGCTGGGAACATGGCTACAGTCTAAGCAATTTTATGCGACTCGTAGGTTTCCCATATTGACGAGACAACATTGAGACTTCTTTTTTTTTCTCTCTCATCTTTTTCATAATCATATTTTGACTTATTATGATTCAGGGAGAAATGGAGGGTCTCACTGGGCTGATCAAATTCGACACGGCTGGCTTCCGCTCGGATTTCCACTTGGACGTGATAAGAATTGCCGAAGGTGGTCCGAAGAAGATCGGCGTGTGGAACAGTACGAGTCCAGTTGCATGGATAACGGAAAAGCATACTCAAATGTCTGAAGAAATGAGTCTAGTCAATAGAACGTTCATCGTTCTAATCGCCATCGTGCGTAAACATTCGTCAGTTTTGGGAATTGACACATTTACCATGACCTCTCGTGGCGAGCAGTAGAACCAGGGG